TAGTTGTAGTAACCAAACAGTTAATCAGGGGTATCACCAACTAGGCTAATCTGATATACTAATAGATTGATTATAGTTCTATACAGACTATCTGAATTGGAAGTTTGGTAAAAAGGCAGATAAAAAAACAGAGGTATACTAAAGTACTAGAATTATGCTATGAAGTAGATGCTAGGGTCTAAATAAACTCTACAAGAGCATAGTGGTTTAATGGTTAAGTCCTAACTGTAAGTATTAGTTCTGCTATAGTGATACTTAGATTAGTTATAAAAATAAATACAGAAGACTCTGAGAGATTTATCTTAATGATAAAATAGTTTTAAAGTTGAAATGATGATTTGAGCATCAGATATAACTTAGTGAAATTAACAGGTTTGCAAATTTAGAGAGTTTAAAATAGAATACTCAAGCAGAAATGTTAGATACAGCAATTAGTAGAAATCCTTTAAGTAAACTTCTTAAATTAGTAATATAAAAAAGTTACACATGTAGCCAATTATATGCTCTTCCTGTAATAGTTCACTGAATCATATTTACTTTTATTAAATAAAGTCAAAAGACTCTAGAGATTATCTTAACACTAAAAAAATAAAATAAATATATAATTATATTTTACAAAAGTTTCAATATAATATTTATAAATATTTTTTAAAATGAGTTAAAAATCCAAAATAGTATGATAAATTAAAATTATCTGAATTAGTCAATAGTATCAATATATTAAAAATTTATAACTGAATTTGAGTTTTTAATTTAGTTTTTATATAAAAATGTAAGACAATAAATAAAATTTATAAATCATAAATAATAATTTATTAATTTCTAAATAGTTATATATATAATTCAAAATATAATTTAAAATAATTAGCAATAAAGATTTTTTAATTTATAAAATAACAAACAAATTATTATATATTTGTTTAAGTAAATAATTTTAATAAATCAAACATAATGAATTAATGATTATTGTTACTAGTAAATATTAATAAAATTTAATTAATTGGATAATAATTAAAATTTTTAAGTTTATTAAATAATCTATTAAATTACTATAATTGAGTAATAAGTTTTTTTTTTTTCTTTTTGATAATCTTGTCAAGGTTATTCTTATGTACTATATCTTGAACCAATGTTCTTAGCACTAAATCTCAATCTTCTTTGATCTGTGTTTTTAAACTTTTTAAGAATGATCTGTTATACTAACTCCTACTGGAATTAGAAGGCTTTATCAAACTCTATCTAGAACTGGTTATTATTATAAGTTCATGTAGTATTTCTTATTATTAGACTTTCAATCACACATTATGTCTCATAACTTTAGTTATTTCAAATTAAGCTCTAACTTGTATTCATTACTAGATGACTTCTTAATCACAGATTACTTGTCTTTTCTAGAAATAAATCTGTCTAATAATGTCCTAGATCTCTAATACTGTAATGTTGTAATTTTCTATTTTAGAAATGTATCTTTACAATTGCTGTCACTAGAATTTGAACTGACAACCTTGCGATTTGTAATCTCAGAGCATAACTGCTATGTTATTAATACTAAAAATCATTATTGAATAATGTTTTTTTTTAGTAAATAGAATGTAATAAATTAAAAAAAAAGATCTGTTAAAATAACAGTCAAAAAATTGGTTTACAACTAAAAAATACAATTTATCAATATTCTTAAAACTTGTATATTTTTATTTGTATAAAAGTAAGATATTATAATTATATTTTAAACACTTTCTTAATAAGAAACAATCCTAATTTTTAATTTTTTATACAATAAAAAATTTGATTGCAACTATAATTTTTTATTTAAGAAACATTTAGTAAATAAATTATAACAACTAACATTATAACAATTTTTTTTTTTAAACTAAAAAAAACAGTATAAAACTTTTACTTACTAAAACTCTAAAATTGTCATTAATATTTAAAAGAATATTTCAACTAAGTGTAATTGTTTTATTGTTTTTTATAATCTAACTTATAAAAAAACAAAACATTCTAATTTTGACCTTGAAAAGATTAAAACTTTGCTACTTACACCAATTAGAGCAAAAGGCCTTACCAGAAGGAATGTGTCTAAATCTTACTTATTATAAGTAAATTAAAGAAAAGTTAACTTAGTGATCATCACAATATCACATGACAATCATTCGACCGAGATTAGAGTTGGTTTATTACGGTAAAGGTATAGTTTAGGCCAGTCCATTTAATTCTGGTAAACAAATAACGTCATAATGTGTTTGTTCTTCAAGTATCCCTTGCTAGGCGCCATAAGCAAAACACCATAGTAGATAAGACCAGCTAATAAATAAAACTGCCTACCATTGAAAGAAACCCAAGTGGGAATCGAAAAGTTAAATAGGTGTAGCAACTGAACACGAGTATGTAAAGATTATGACATTTATTTTAATAAATAAACACTTTAGATAAACGTCTTTACGAATCTTAATAAGAAATAACCACTTCGGATCAACGTCTTGGCTGAGATATACGTAAAAGAGAGCGTGTGAATTTTTTATTTTTTTTTGAGTTACGTAAACATTGATTACCATCGCCAATCTTATTTCCTATTACGGCTAGAGCAAATTTTGTTTGGCTTATATAACTGTATAAATAGGTCGAATATCATCTAATCATGTTACGTAAAGAGGCTTCACAAATTTTCTGATTTTGGCCAATCAGCATTCACGAGGACAAAAAAAGTGAAAATTAAAAAGCCATGCATTTTTTGAAACATCACATTTGTGCTAAAGGAATCGCACTAACAAAAAAAAGAAAATTTTACGTAGTATAATTTCATAATTGCATGACATCAATAGGGATGCTAAATTGCAAATCTAGCGGTCTGCTCCCAGGATTAAAAGGACGGCCCTGGATCATATGAAAACATAATGAAAATAGATCTTGTATCAGATCCTGAATTGAATCTATTGAAGAAGTCCATCCAATCAAGGACCGAGTTCTTAAAAAAATCTGAAAGGATCGGTTAGGACTCGATCCTAAATTCCATTCTAACAATGTATAATTATTGATGAAGTTAGCAAATCAGAAATGATAAAGCTATAGTTGACTTAATAAAATTTAATTATTGGTTTAGCTAAAATCTCCATTATGATAATTATTTTCGATAATTTTATACGTATGTCAAAACATTTTTGCGCTCTAATTTTTTCTATTGTCCAATAATTCCATGTTGATCTGTCAGATTAAAAATTTACAATTCTTGCTCCTAATACATATCGAATTCAAAGAAAAATTTAGGTTGACTACCCGTTTCCAACCGAGATAAGAACAATAAACGTGTGAATTAATATCGGTAATCGTAGAATAATATGAATGATTGAGCGTAAAGTTTAAAAAACAATCTTGTATGTAGATAAAAGAAAGTAGAAGCTAGTAAGTCTTTCCCAATGAATATTCTATATTAATAATAACGAAGTAGTAAAGGTGTCATTAGTATCGACATGAAGGTAGATCGATACAACCAGATAAAAGTAACTATGTTATCGCAAGACGGAGAGTGTGACTAATCAGAACTTGATTTCAGATGGATTTAATGATGCTAATTATTTCGCTTCTTGAAAGCAATTATATAAATTAAGCGATTTTTATAATGCAAAGTAGTAATATTTCGCGGTTATTATCGTTACAAAAGGTAAACCGTAAAATTGATAATAAATCATCTACTGAAACATATAAAAGTTCAGATCGACAATATATAGTTTACATTCTAAGAGTCAAGGTACTGCAACATTATTGTAAATCTAATTAGTAAGACCGAAAGCTACATACAAAATCTGTGGTATGAGTCATATTGCACTATCAAAATCAAAAAAAAAGATGTTCCAATCAGGCCAGGCAAATCTGCAAGGAAGATTTGGTCCTATAATCGTTGCTTATCTGCCATCGAGAAAGAAAGAACTGAAAGAACTACGAGGAAAGCGCTTTAATGGCAATAACAATTTCGAAACACTTTATAATAATGTACGATATGAAATTATAAACGACTAGCTTAAGGTTATAAACGATGTTACCTAAACTATTTGGGACGTTCCAAACTACGTGATGAATAATATCATATTAGGTATTTACCGCCTTATTGTTATTGGCGAAATATTCATCGGACGCCCCAAATAGTTTGGATAACATCGCTACTGCTAAAGCAACTACCATATACAATAAAATACGTAGTCGGCTTGTGATGAATCGTCTTTATGACTAGATGAAAATTGATATTAACCCATTTCTTCCCGACAGCCCATTTCGCCGACAGTTTAATTGGATTTAACGTTAAGATCATCGTTTAGAAAATCTCTAGCTGGGTATTATTAAATTACCAGGTTATCCGGGTAAATTATTATGTATTTCGGGTAATCATATAGCAACAATTTCCAATCTCTACCTGCAGCTACGTAATCAAAATACTATGTGATATCAGCCTGATTTGAAAAAATTCATTAAAGATGACTCATCTTTAATGAATTTTTATAAAAATGAACGTCGGTGAAATCCAAAGCAGACTGACATCACATAGTATTTCTGTATTTTGATTAGTTGCAGGTATATTTTTGGTAAATTGTTACATGAAGTGATGGGTCTCGTGAAATCATATGCACGACAAAGGTGTACACTAGAAAAGCTCAAAATCCTAGGTTGGTCCAAAATCTTTTCGTCGCCTAAAATGAAAATACAACGCTAAGCTTGATAGAGATATTAATGGAGCCTGAAATATATTCCCTTGTTATACTTCAACGAGAGCTGGCTTCAGAACATTTCCTTATTTAAACATGATCATAAATATGAGGTTGAATGATGTAGGATCGCTATTGTACGATAATACGTAATAACCAATAAATAATCATAGTCTTCAACAATCAACTCCGTTGTTGCACGGCAGAAGAATTTGAAACGATTGCCTTGATTAGTCATAATTGATTTATAAAAGCGGACATCTAAAACCCAGTTTAGATTTTTATTTCAAAGAACAAAAAAAAAAGATGGCAAAACGACAAACAATCCCGTCTTTTACCAAATTATCTGAAAGAGTCGTGCGTATTCTTGGTGAAAACCCGGGCAAATTTACATTACAAGGTTTCATTTGTTTTACAAAAAAGCTGTTGCATTGTTAAAATTTAAGATTCGAACCTATCAATTCTTTTTTTTATAGGTACAAATACATACCTAATCGGTACGGGTTCTCGGAAAATTCTTATCGATACCGGAGAAGGAAAACCAAAATACATTCATACACTTAGTGAATCATTAGGAAAACTAGGAGAAAATGTATTTATTACTGATATATTGATAACTCATTGGCATATTGACCATGTTGGGGGTATAGATAGCCTTCTTCAATATTTAAAGGAAAATAATCACCCCACACCAACTATTCATAAGCGACTGAATCCTGCAACGGATAAACTTCACCACGTATATAAACCTATAGAAGAAAATCAAATATATCAAACAGATGGTGCAAGTCTTCGTGCAATTTTCACTCCAGGGCATAGTGTAGATCACGTCTCATTTTATTTGGAAGAAGAAAATGCATTATTTACTGGTGATGCTGTATTAGGTCAAGGAACAACTGTTTTTGAAAATCTGGAAGAATATATGACCTCTTTACAAAAAATGAAAAAGTTAATTCCAGATCGATTGTACCCTGGTCATGGTCCAATGGTCGAAGATGGTATGACCAAATTGGATGAATACATTAACCACCGCCTGCAGCGTGACCAAGAAATACTTGGTGTCCTTAAACAATCAAATAAACCCTTAACAACTATGGAGATCGTAGAATCAATTTATAATGCATATCCTCGAGAACTTTGGAGGGCTGCAGAAGCTAGTATAAATTTGCATTTATATAAATTAGAAAACGAATCAAAAGTCTGTAAAGTTTCACCCATTGAAGATAAATGGGCTCTCAATAACAATAATTATAAAATATAAATATATACGATACATATGTTCTCGCTTGTCTTTATTGTCAAAAATAAAGGAATGGTATTAAATCACATGTAAAGATTACCTACTTCTTACTGTAATTAGAATGAATAATGATAAAAAATATACATATATTACACTTTTTTAAGTTAAAAATTTGGTTGTCTTATTATTTTTGGCGTTTGATTGTAGTATCTCCATTCTCTCATAATATGAAGGCGAATGCGCCTACATTATATATCGGAACACTCCCTTTTACAATCCGGATCTCCAAATTTATAATCATTATCGTTATGAGGCGCATTTCCGTGATAAAGACGAGGTTTCACCATAACAAATAACTATAAAAAATTTAATATGAACTTTTGTTTCACCCACTTGATTTACATAAGGTTGCACATAGCAACACTGCCGCTTGACAGCTACTATTTAGGTTTGCCCCCTGGTCGGTCTCCTTTTTTTTGATTTATTTTTATTAATCTCGTTTGAAATAAAAAATTCTTTTCTTGTCATCGTTTTTCGTAAGAGATTGTCCTGTCTGCGTATTGTTAAAATCACATAAAATCAAATAAAATCATCACTTCGAGTTATATAAACCTTCAAATTATAAAATACTTTCATTATACTATCTTGTTTTTTTACAAGCTTATCATTCTGATTTTATGATGTCTTTCCTCGCTGATTTTGAGCCTGCGCTAATTCATTCTCCTTTTGACCGTCGTCAAATACCTGAAAACAAGTCTTCCAACAGTGATACTCATACTAATAACGTTGGATATAAATACTATTGGAAGAACAACTCATCCGTCTCTTTAGAAAATACGATGACACCCCTTCCGGTAAACCCTTCGGCATCTACTCTACTAACCTCTCAAAACGTTCGATACGATCGAAAGTATTGGACGGATAAATTGGTCACGTTCATTCTTATGATGCCTTACTAAGTAGGGTTGCAACCCAAACCTTTTTTTTTTATAAGATTATATTATATGGTTTGGGTTTTGATGTCATATGTCATATTGCCATGTTACAAATGGACAATTTTTACAATTTTATTTTGCGAAAAAAAATTTTTTTTATCTTTTTTTTCATCGGGTTCTTTAATATTCTTTGTATAATATTATTACTCGTCACTCACATTATGATTATGTGAATTTTTCTTTTGTATACAGGATATACATATACTATCGTCATAAAGGAACTAAAGGGGTCAAACTTTAATGTAAATTTCTTTTATTCATAATTTATTCGGCATTTTTTTTCATTTACAAGTTAGATTTTTTTTGATTTTTTTATTTGATTTAATTTGATACTTTTCGGTCTTTTTTTATTTTTTTTAAAAAAAAAGCCATTATAATTCTAAAAGTCTCAAATCCGTGTTTTAACTCCAAATAATAATTAATAAATAAACCCTACTTGCGTATAACAATATTATAATTCGTTGGTAAATACATTATATATAATTGTTAATTGTAAATTTATTTAGGTTTAAATCACTATATGTATTGAGAATTTGGGTTCTAGTACAATTTTTTTAGTACGATTTTTAAAAGACAACTTGACAAAATCAACCAACATTCTACAGTAAAGTCGCTTTCTGGAATTTGAATTATAATGAATAGTCTAACTACAAGTGAAAAATTTTAAAACTTTTAATTATTTAACTTTGAAACAATACAGTACTCGTAGGACTTTTATGATTGACTAAAATTTTCAATTGAATTTTACACTAGTATTCAAGTTGGTCAAAACCTTAAAATCGATTAGTTAGATAATATGTTACACTTCATCAATAAAAACTTATAAAATTATACTATGACTTTAGAACTAAATTTATTTTAAATTTACATATTATGATCAAGATTTGTGGTTATATTAGGGCTGTTAATCGGTTCTAATCAGTTCTAATCGGTCCTGAAATAATTTAATAAATCACTAGCCCCAGATACCTTGAAAGCTTCTTGGAAAGAAACTTTATTAATAACTTTTTTTAAAAAATGTCATCTTAAAAATTGGCAATTTGCTTGGGACTGATGCTAATCAAATCAAGCATCGGTCCCAAGCAAATTGCCAGTTTTTAAGATGATTTTTTTTAAAAAAAGTTATTAATAAAGTTTCTTCCCAGGAAGTCTTCAAGGCAGGTTACTTATTGGCAATAAACGATTGTACTTCTCTGGAACTAGTAATTTATTAAATTATCTCAAAACTGACTAGGACCGGTTGGAACCGATTAATAAAATCATTTAGAACGTTTTAAAATTGCATACTTATAAATTTTATAACAAATAAAGAGGATTTCTATGTTTACCACTATATATAGCTTTAGAGTTAAGGTGCAATTTTAGACAAAGCTTATACGTAGTTAAATATTAGGGCCCCAAATTTGGTTATATGTTTTCAGAGGTTCTGAACATTTTTTGTTAGTATATTTGACTCCTGTTTCTTAGTCCCGTTTTTAAGATATAGCATACTGTGTGATGGTCACCAACAGTAATAAATAGCAAACTTATTTTTATTACTGCAGTATTGCTTAAAGTATTATAATTGTGTCGAAAGATAAGACATTCAACATTGCTAAGAATTTGGATACAGACTTAACCTGCAAAACAGAACTCATAACTTTGTAGTCTGCAAAGCTATGGTGAATTTTTGTTTATTCGGTGAGTGGCAATTCATAATAAATAACAATTAAAAAATAAAAAATTTACTAATAACGGTCTATTAGCTAAATAAAATTTGTTGGTAAAGATAATAAAATAACATAGTTTACGATTATTTTATTTATCTTTATCATGTCTTCTGCTCCAAAACCAGAGCTTTCCAATTTTTATTCATGAAAAATTGACCATGACCGAATGTTCGTTTAGTGACACCATTAATTGGTATTAACTCATTTCCCCGACACCATTTGGCAGACAGTCCATTTCTCAACGGCACAAAACTTAATCCTAACCCTAAAGATTGTTTACACCTGATATTTCGATTTAATTGGATAAAAATCACGAGGGGGGAGGGGAGGATTTTTGTGGGAGAGTTACCAACTATCCATTTCTCCGTTATTACATTTTACAGACAACCTATTTCATCGATACTCTATTCATAGATTTCGTTTTATTCACTGACAGCATATTCCCCCGATAACTATTTGTTTAGCTGCCATTTCGCCAGTGTAAACAAATTTCGCCGACAGCTATTTCAACAACAAATTTGGACCGATTTAGGTTAGGGCTGTCCTGATCTATAGTTAGCGTTGACTAAATATAGATCGTCAGCGAAGCGGCTGTCGGTGAAATGGCTGTTTAACAAATAGTCGTCGGTGAAACGAAGTGAGTGAAATAGAGTGTCGGTAAAATGGGTTGCCTGTAAAATGTTATATCGAGGAATGGGCTGTCCGTGAAATGATGTCGATGAAATAGTTGTCGGGTAAATCTACCAAATCCCCATTAATTGTATTTAGATCACCAAGTCCTTTCATGTACCGTAAATTCTCAAGATAGCGGGCATATACGCGTTATCCGAGTACATTCATGACTTTATTTCGAAGCTGATTATACTGATACTATTTTATGGGTCACGATTTTCGAAACAACGCCCATACCTGTTATTTAGAGAATTTACGGTATTACTGTATTAGCAATCATTAGGTCAGTTATCTTCCATTGATTTAGGATCTTATCGAACTTTTCATGCATTATACTTATTAAGAATTTAATACACGAACATTCTCCCGATATAGACCGCAACTAAAAGCAGGATTGATATTAAAGTGCTAATTTTAGCATTAATAGTTATTTTGTAAGTAATCAAAAATTCCATTATTAATTGCTAAAAAAAAACATCAATAATATCTCCATAAAAGCATTGATTTTTAATGTAATTCGAACAGTAATTTATTATACAATTTATATATTAAATGACAGAATCTACCATAATCGTAATTTGACAGATGATCATTTCACGAAAGCGTTTTTTTTTTTTTTTTTTTGTGGTAGCAGCAATCATTCATAAACTTCGTAATCAAGTTTCTTTTTCATCAACTCAAAGACCAGAAACCCCACACTGGTTGCAGGTATAGCTCTTAATACAGTAGCTCCAAAATCACCATATAAGAAATGAGTCCATCCAGTTCTTAAAGCTCTCAATTTGCATTGTTCCCATGTAAGTTTATAAAGTTTTGGCTTTTGCTCATGCTGAAATTCTGATTGTGCTTCTTCTACTAAAAAAACATTTCGAATCCTGTCAAGTGGGTAGTCAATGACATGATATGATATGGCCGCAAAACTTCCAGCAATTAAGATGAAAATTGGCTCAATGAAATGTGCGTTATCTCGATCGCGATGTTGATGTTTTACCACACTATGGTTATCCATTTTATTGATAAAAGCATCATAACATTGTCTTTTTACAAATTCAAACACTCCAAAAAAGAGACCACAAGATAAAGAATCCTAAAATTAATAGTATATAGTATATAAATTAACTTATATATCAGTTATTTCAATAGACATGACAAATGAAAAATGTGAAAGAATGTTGAGTTACCTTTACGAGTGTCAATCCAATTCCTCGATATACGCTAGAAAGTCCTAACTCTTTCCATGTCGTCTTAGCATAATCATACATACTTTTGTGCTTGCCTTCTAATAAATCATTGACCTCAAATCTAACTTTAAGCGAATCAAGGGGTGCCGCTACTAAAGATTGTGCTGCACCTGCTATAGCACCAGAACAAAATACGGCATAAAATGGTATGTGATGATGTTGTGAACCAGCTATTGAGGTGGAATGAAATTGTGAAAGAGTAGAAACATAAACTGTAAATAGAACCGCGCCTATTACGGAATTTGCTATAAAAGGTGGGATGATATGCCGATGAATGAATGAAAACTAAGAAAAGATAATATACAAATCAATTCAAAATGTCAACGGTGATTTATTCCTATTAAATATACGCAATAAATCAGGTATTCTGTGTGAAGTAATATATTTGTATAATATAAACCGGATTTTATTGATACTTACCCCATGAAGTTTTACTGCATTAGAAATCATACCAATGCTAGTATGATGAAAGGAAAATTTTTTTTTTGTTTCTTCAGAAGGTGGCGGCATAATCGCCCGGGCCATTACGAGATAATCTACTCTCAGAGGTCTAAAAAGCTGAATAATTGTTATAAAAGGTGTAGTAACTTAGTAAAGTAAATAAGTTGCCAACCTTTCAACTGGTAGATTGGATGTTCAAATCTCATCAATAGTGAAAATTTAGATAATTGTCTATATAATACACGATTCTAATAAATTGTATATAAAATAAACTAAGAATCAAAATATAATATTTACTTTTATGGGCGTTCTATAGAATAATGCAAGGCCCTGCAAAATAATCGAGCGTGTTATGGCAGCAGGTGCTGCAATCGACGCAGCAGTTTTTGCATTTTGCTTATTATCGGTAGCGTCTTCCATTTTGAAAACCCTTAATACGCAATCAGGTTCTTGATTATCAAACCTCATTGTTGTACCTTAAAAAATTTCGTTAACCAATCAAAATCAGGATCATCATGTAACTCGACTGTTAAGGGATAGGTACTCGATATTGTTACACATGATTATCAACCAATCGTATCCCGAATTTATTGAATCGACCAATCAGATTGCAAAAAAAAAAGTTGAAGAATATATTATAAGGCGAAGCGAAAGCATTAATTCATCCGTTAAATTTACAGTTTATTTTTAGGAACTACAATTAATGAAATTTATTATTCTATAAGTTCAAACAATTATTTATTAATAAAATTATAATTATTCTTATAGCGTAAAAAATTTCAATATCTATTATGTTTTATTATAAAACAGATCATTCCGGTGACTTTTGGTGATGACGACCCAACCACTACACTAGAATCACCATCCTCTCATGACAATGTTTAATAACATCATGGAATTCGAATTTTATTTAAATACATAAATAGAATATGTATGCTTTATTTGATATTTAAATTTATGAGACTTTTTCAATTTTGAAAAAATGGTAAAGCCAGGTTCGGGTTAGAGTTAGTGTTACTACGTATAATTGCCGCTATAATTATTGAATTACCTGTTAAGAAATAGTTATTATGGCTTGTAGTTTTTTTATACCATCGAAAAATTAATTCGACTGTAAAATGAAGTATTTTGTTCAAGACCGCCTCATTACATTAGATTTAAATAAACTTTTAGTGCTATTTAATTTGAATAATCATAAGCTTATAATGGAAGAATGTCTGGGTTTAATATCTAAGTATCTTCGATTCTTGCAATGTGTGTTGTATGTGTACAAGGTTGCATTTCGGATGAGCATGTGACAATCCAAATATCTCCGGAATTTAAAAGTTTTAATAGATTTGTTAATATTGTAATATATAAACTTCAATTACTGAATAAAGTATTTAATAAAATACATAAAATTTATAACTTTAAATTTGTCTATTTCGGCATTATTTTTAGATAAATTGAAGTCTTTCCCTTTTTGCGTGCACCCTTAATAACTGGTTAATGTTTTCTTGAGATTTCTTATACCTTGCTCACTTCTCATAAGCAGAAAATGTACAACTAATTTATATGTTTCAGAGGAATGTAATATCATACAAGTAAACAGTTGTTCAAACATCGTTTCTAGTTTCAAAAGAGTGCTAGAAAGTCAACTTTAAAAATAAAATCTAATAAGATCTTATTTAAGCAGTATCGATCGAGTTTTTTGACATATGAACAATGCTCAATGCTTCTTCTAAATTCGATGTGATTTAATTGGTTGATATTCATGTACATAAGACAAACTTCTGCTTATGAAGACCATGGTCTTTTTAATTTGGATCTGAATATTTTGAACCTGTTTCACTTTTACAGAGATCTGAATTTTTGAACACGAAACTTCATGTTATCAAAATATTTTTATTCAAAGTATAAAGAATAAATTTGATGATCTATTTTAAAATGGGTTATTAACTTTTTTTTTTACTTCAGGGTTCGCAATGATTATTGAAATTACTCAATCAAAGAATAAGATAATTGTAATAAATTAAATAACAACTAAGAAAATTTAATAACCAATTTTGTTTTTATGCTCCAGACTTATATCGGTTTCTGATTCCTAGTAATATTATAATTTATACAGATTCAATTTACAAATACTAATATAGAATTAGGTATAATATAGAAAATCTTGTAATAAAATTGATTATTAATTAATTAATTATGCATTATTTCAATTGTTAATTATATAATAAATTATAAATTAACTCAATTCAACTAATTTGATAAAATTAACTCAATATTTTAAGTCATTAACTTGAGTCAAGTTGTTAACATTTCTAATTGAGTGTAGAATATATATAAAATTTCTATTAAGCCTCTTATCAAAAATATACTAAAAGGTTGTTTTAAGAATATTAATGAAAATATCAAATATTTTGAATGAGTATAACCTAGAAGATGTTTTTATGATACAAAATAGATTGCAAATGTAGAAGGTTTAAATAAGTAAGATTTATAGTTGGATTGCAAATATAACATCTAATATAGAATCTAGTAATAAACAAACTACTTAAATTAAACGCCAAAAATGTATGTGTATCTATTGTAAAGAAGCTTTTAAAAATACCTATGTTTACATAACTTGAATAATAACTATAATTCTAAAAATAAAACTTTAATACAAAAAAAAAAAAATAACAAACTAGTTTAACAAAAATCCCTTTTACAGATTTGTTACTTTTTATTAAAATTACTATTTTTATTAAAATAGTTTTACTTGATCTATAATTTTAAAAAATTATAACGCTTTTTATAAAACTTGGATGTTTTTTGCTGTTTAGTACTGTAGAACTAGAAAATAGTATGTCTATATTTAGATCTGACTGTACATCTTATTTTTATTTATTGGTTAATAAAATTAGGTCTATGTAATACTAGAACAGATTAATTTAAAGTAAAAGTTCTAAAAATATAAAAATAAAAAACCAAACTTTATAAACAAAATAATATATTGTGATATACTTGTAAAAACTAAGATCAGAAAGTTTAAATAAATAATTTTTTATAAACAAATTGAAGGTATAATACGTAGCTAGTATAAAACCTTTAAATAAACTATTTAAATTAGATACAAAAGTGGCTAATTGTACTTTTATCTATATACCAAATATCAAAACCTTTGAAAGCTTTTTTGATTTATAAATTTAATAAAATCTTAATTTCAAAAACATGAACGTTGACTATAAAAAATATCCAATACAAGTACAAACATTATCAAGTTTGTAATGCAATATAACTTATTTATATAGGTTTTTATATAAATAGCAAAAGTAAAAACATAAATACAATAACAAATCTTGCGTAATATTTTTTTATTATACCCTCTCCTTCACGTAAGAGAAATTTAATTTGTTACTATAAATTTATATATCTAACATAAGATATCAAGAAACCCTCTTCCCCTCAGGATATTACGTAATATTTGTCACTACCCTAATACCACATTGTTTTATTTAATTATAAATATCTCAAGAATGTAGTTTTGATTATCAAAATATATAAAACTAAGTCTATTACATTATTTTAAATAATTATCAATTGGCAGTTTATTTTTCTGAATGTAACCTTTTAATTCTTGCACAATAAAAATTAATACTTATTTAAAGCTAGAAATAACTTTTTGCAATAACTTTTTATTAGTAAAATATTACATTCTCAAAGGTATATAAATAGGCATACATTTAAACCAACCAATCAAATAAATGTCTGACTCTATGTAGAAGTGTTGTATATTTTAGGTGTTCGGATTCTTTTGGACAATCTGTCCTAAAAAAAATGCAGTATTACTGGGAACAAGATCTAATTGGACGGTGTAAAGAATAATATTGAATATTAAGTATGTAGCAACACCAAATGAAATATTTAATAGAATATTTTTAAAAGCAAAAAATTATCATTGTTTGACATTAAATTGACATTAAATTGTGTATATAATTGTGTATATAATTTTATCATTATAAAAATCTTGAATTATTTTTAATTCTCTGTGTCGTTTACGGAAATGGTCAATTAACATATTCATATAATATCGTTATCATATAATATCGTTATCATGTTTGATGAATAATTGGAATCAACCAACTTAATCGTCCAAAACACACCGAGAGCTGAGCAATCAAATTAGTTGGTTAAACAGTCCACTGTTACTCATGCAAAATAGTTATAGCATCTAGTTGATTGATTTTTCTAAGATATAATGAAATATTGACTCATATTTAAGATCCAAATGGTTATTTTTGAGAAAAATTCTCCAATAAGCGATCTAATTGATTTAATAAAGCAGTGGCGTCCTTTTCATGATAATCGACAAAATTCTCATCATAGTAAACTGTTCCCCATGGTTTGACACAGCTACCATACTTAAGAGATTTATCAAGGCGTTCGATAGGTAGTGTAGCTACAATGAAATTAGAATATGAGCCATTCCATGCGGTGATTGTTTCTTCTCGTAACCCACAAATGCGTCCCTAATTTGCGTTACAGATTAAAGAAGGCCAAAAGATTCATTAAAATAATTAAATCAAAAAATACCAGATGAAATCCAACTCTCATTAATTTGTCCATAACCCATCCCAAATGATCACCGACAATATTCGTAGCAACAACACCGGGATGTGTGGTAAAACTGTAAATATGTCGTTGGTTTAACCGGGTATTAAGAGCTATTGCAATGATATCAGTGATATATTTGGATGATTCATAAGGATTATTACTACACAAAACACAAATTGAAAATTAGTTAAAATAATCAGCAAGCTCAAATCTATCAAAACTACCAACCCCTCAATACATTGATAGTCCGCGAAATTATAATAATCTTTGCTTGAAGCACTAGAACTCGTCCAAATTATGCGAGCATCACCTGATATACTCATCAAATCTTCTAATTGACGTATCTATAAATACATTAGATGAATAAAAAAGTTAAAAATCAACTAACCTTTATTTTATTAAAGAATTATTCACGAACTCTTAATAACAAACCATCACATAGTGCCCAAACACATTACATGCAAATGTTTCACCTAATCCATCTCTCGTTTTATTTCCTATAGGCTGAACTACTACTTTAGATTCTGTTAACAATCTTACAGGACTCGTCAACCCTAAATAAAACGCGCCCCACCAATCTAGGTAGTCGCATGACAATATCCCAGCATTGCAGAATAGTAAATCGATTCGATCATATCTAATTAAATTAAATGTTAAAACTGGTTTCAACACGGATTACGATATAAAAAGATTCAAACTTACTTTTCTTTAATTTCCTTGCAACACTTAAAAACAGAATCAATCGAACTAAGATCAACGATTACTACATCAACCAAACTTTCAGGATATTCTTTTATTAATTCTTCACGAGCAACGGATGCTCGTGTTGCGTTGCGACAAGCAAGCACAACACGGATACGGAAGGATGGATTTTTCGACGAATAATCTAATAGCCTTTGTGCGATTCCGAATCCTACACCACTGTATTTTAATGGCCAGTTTCGTAATTTATAAAAAAATTAACTGATCTATATGTTGTAGATTAAGATTAATTTGACTAACATTAAAAGACATCAAGTTTAATGTTAGCCATTAATCTTAACTCTTAAGGTAGAGTTTACTATTTTTAAATTTTACGTTAAGAGAATATTTTACTGAGTACAGCGAACCCTCTATAAATAACCTCTTCGGACTACAACACGTGATAATGAGTACTCCAAATATTTCGGTTAAGTGATATGCACTAAGAAAGAGAAAAACACACTGATGGAGGGTGCACTTACAGAGGGTTGACTATATCTTGTTTTTGAATTAAAATCATAGAGAAAGTTTCTTGACTCTAATAGTAGAAAATCACTGTAATTGGTTTATTGCTTGACGAGGATATAATTGTTTGCTATAGGTGCAGACATATTTATGTTATTTGTAGACATTATATAACAATATTAATCATGGAATTTAATATTTGTATATTATCCCACATATATTAAACCAATTAATTTTAATATTAGAATCAGAAAACTTTATAATTTAGAGACCAAAGTAGCTTACTCGGTAAAAAAAACTTTAACGCGAAATACAAACAATAAACCCTATTTTAACATTTGGTAATTTACCAAAGGTAATTTGTGCTTATGACGGATTAAAAATAGTAACATACCTATTCGCGCCTGTAATTATGGCAACATGGGTTTGCATGTTTTGTTTCAACATTTCTTTCAATTTCTCATCGGTATTATATTATATATTAAATTGTTAGTTTTACAAAAGTCAAATATCGCCAATAAACATGTGAAATGAGTGTACTCATACATATTCCTATCACTATAATTAGGATACCCGCAGGCTTTAAATGACCCCAAAAACGAAAATGTACATTCATGAAAACATATCCATTTAGTTGGGATATCCATGTCGAATATTACGTAATTCTTATTAATACCCTTTTTTTTTTTTTGAGATCTTCATGCAGCAGCGTGATTCGCAGAATCTCGTTCGCATGGTATTTTGAAACTTTCATGTCATTAAGATAACTATCGTTTTATGTATATATAATTAAAACCATATCATTGAAACACAAACTTAGAAATCTTCAAGTACCGTATTTTGAGGAATAAAGTACCTACGTGTAGGATTGTGGCATACTCCGGAGCCAACCCATTAACAACCCTACCTACGTGACGCAATTTTTTTACACATAAAAAATTAAATTTCACAATTAATACATGTCACATCAATACGCAATAAGCATTCAAAAAGGAGATCTACATTATTTGGCACGAAGGGTACTTTATTCCACAAAATACGGTAGTAATTTTGGTAGGTGCACCTAAAGTAGCAACTACAAAACTACCCTAGCTGTTAGGACAGTTTTGAAGTTGCAATTTTAGGCGCCTGAATTCGCACCTACCAAAATTACTACTTAACCATGTGTGATGATGTGAGCGCAATGTCGTATTTGTTTTTACAAAAAAAAAATTATATCGTGATCAGTTTTAATATTTTCTGTCTATAATATTTTTGAAAATTTTAATATGTGATATATATAACTGAAGTTAAATTTAAATCTATATATTTATATATATTTTATTCTCTTCCCTCCGCTATCCTGAAGGTCCTTAGTAGAGATGTACTTCGCGCGAGGTCAAACTAGCATTTATTCACAACCTCACGCGAGATCACATTGCGCGATTTTGCGTGATGTTATGTGAGGTCATATAAAAAAGTTTTTTAAAAATATTAAAATTCGTAGTGAAAAGCATAAGACCTTATTACTATACCATAGCTAATTAAATTTTTGTATTTTATCTTCAAAATATATTGGTTTTAAGAAGCGAAATAATATATTTTTTAAATATTTGCTATAGCATTAATATAATCGGAGAAATAGTCATTACAAAAATAATTTCAAACAGTTATGGTATTTTTTTTGTTAAATGCTTGAAAAGAAAAGTTTTATAACAAATTCGCAAAAATTATTATATCTTCGATCTATTAAATTTTGCAAAATTCTTATCAAATATTCATATTTCGGCCTATGTTTATAAAACAAGTTTTGGGAATAAGAAACTCAAAGAATTATAAGACTTAGGTAATAATTCTAATATTAAAGAATGAATATAGCAAAATATATTATAAATAAATATCCAAAATATTTAAATTAGAACTTTGATATAGAAATTAATTTTTAATTTTACCTTATTCATTATTTTCATCTTCGCTTTCATCCAAATCTATTAATTTATCATCACTTTCATGTAAATTTAATAATTCATCATGTTCATCAAATTCTTGAATATTTTCATTATCTTGTTCGATAATTTTATAATTTTCATTAACATTATTAACTGTTTCTTGAAAATTTAATAATTCAAAGTTTTGCTGTTTCTGTTGACAATTTTCAATAAATATAGGTGATAATTAGAATAAATATATACTAGTTTCAAAACATGTTCTGGAATAAGTCTATTTTTTTTTTGTCATGGATAGTCACAAATGTAAATCAATTTCATTCAGAGGCAGCTGAAGATGTAGAAATATTTAAAACTCGAATTGCTACTTGACATAAATCATGTGCAACAGAATTATAGTTTCCTTTTCACTATGTAGTTGGTGCAAGTTCTGATAATGAATCCCAAATTAATGGATTATTAAAAATTCTATCTTGTACTTTGTATTGCACTAATTGATTCCAAATCTTTATCAAGTTATATAGATAATATTTTGTAATAAATAATGAAATTGTCATAATATTTGAAGGTGGTAAGTATTGTCTAATAAGCCATAGGTCAAGAAGATAAACAACTTCTATTACTGGGTAATATAGTTTTTTTCAACATTTTTCAAAAATTGTATTAAGCTCAATACATGCATGTGAATTGCAAATCTCTATTTAAATATAATAATAAAAAGTTATTATTATACAATAATACAGTACATATAAAACAATATAATACTTATGTTTTAAATTTAGTAAATTATAGTACTATTCCTAAAATTGGGATAATTTTGAACTGTAACTTTCAAAAACAGCAATATTATTGATTAGATATTTTAATATTTCTAGCAAATAATAAGCTTCATATCAATAATTTTTATTATAAATAATCGATGCAATATCTTTATCAATTTTACTAGTTTTATGTTGCATAAGCTCTGTTGAACTCAAAATTAAAGCAAGCTTGTTTGATAATACTGAATTTAAGCAGATAGTAGTTAATCTCTAATGTGTTCTAACTGGTATTTTTAATGTAGTTTTTTTACTTTGTATTGTACTATTTGATGTTATTTTAAAATAACATTGAGTATATTATAGTCCAATTAAGTTTAAGAATATCATCTACAAATAGATTTAGTATTTTTTTTTTTTTTTTTTTTTTTTGTTCTTGGGGTGCCGTTTTTTTCTTTTTAGTTTTCTTAATCTTTTATTAGTTTTTT